TGAAAAGAAATTAAAAAAAAAAAAAAAAAGAAAGAAAACAGTTGATGAGAAAAAAAAAAAGAACTAGGAGAAAGGGGTGACAAAAAGTATGATTTACCAAGCATTGCCTAAGAGGAAACTGCTGGGTCAATTATTGCTCTGGGGGAACACTGGGATACAAAAGGAGCATGAAAGCCCTATACCCTAGGAAAAATGGAAAAGGAAATGTTGATAGAAGAGAAGTGAAAAAGGGGAGCTCAAAAACAAAATAACCACTTCATAATCTGGTTTTAGACTGGCTGGAATGTTCAACTCCCAAGAGGCATAATCCCAGAGCAGCATCATAGTATGAAGCAATTCTGAATACCAGCTATATCCTTGGTTACCAGAAAGTCTGGGAAAAGCAGGAAGACAATCTCTTGGACCAGTGATTGCCAATGGAATATATCACATACAACACAGGAGATTTCTAAACCTTTCTGTCCCTCCACGCACATTCCTAACTCCACCCCAAGCCAGGTGAAAAACTGAGAGGGAGAAGAGGTGTGTAGAGAGAAGTATACACGTATACTTTGCAGAAGTTCCTCAAAAGATCCAAATGGTTATGACATGTATTCCTATTCTACAGTGACAAGCTTCATCCTCCACGCGTCTAATTAGACCCCAGTTCCACCAATGTCATAAGCAGATCCAGCACACTATCAACTCAAAGGAGTTCTTAAAATTGTTACATTTGAAAAAAAAATTGTTACATTTGAACTGATAGATGATTTTGATTGCCACCTAGTGGAAGAGAGAAAATTAATCACAAGCTAAACTGAGGAAAAGCAAATTAAAAGTATCAAATGTTGTTTTCTATTCTCTGATGGCCAAACACAGTTTCCCAAAGTGTGGTTACATGTAAGATAATTTTTAGGTAGCACAAAGACCAATGCTATTTTAACTACTTGATATTTATCATAATGCATATTAGAATAATGATGAAACTCATCATTTCATAAACCTATGAAGATGAGGTAAAAGCCTAATTTTAAGAAGTAAATAGATTTAAAAATATATCTACATAATAATATTACACAAGTAATATTATAATGGGATATCACCAAAGTTATATGGTAACTCCAAAATGATCAGTGTTAGAAATAGTTGTCTAAGCTGGTTCTTCTTTTTTTTTCTTTTTTCTTTTTTTTTTTAAGATTATTTATTTATTTATTTGACAGAGAGAGAGAGATCACAAGTAGACAGAGAGCCAGGCAGAGAGAGAGAGGGAAGCAGGCTCCCTGCTGAGCAGAGAGCCCGATGCAGGACTCGATCCCAGGACCCCGAGATCATGACCTGGGCCAAAGGCAGAGGCTTAACCCACTGAGCCACCCAGGTGCCCCTAAGCTGGTTCTTCTAATGGAAAATAACTTCCCTCACTGTGTCTGAGGGTTTTTTAATGCATATAAAGTGAAGTAACCTATCTTTTAATAGAATTAACAATGTTTTTAGGTATTTCTTTTTTCTCATCAAATAATAGTTCCTGTTTTCTTTTTTTTAATTTTTTTTTTAAGATTTTATTTATTTATTTGACAGAGAGAGATCACAAGTAGGCAGAAAGTCAGGCAGAGTGAGAGAGGAGGAAGTAAACAGGCTCCCTGCCAGGCAGAGAGCCCAACTAGGGACTCGATCCCAGGACCCTGAGATCATGACCTGAGCCGAAGGCAGAGGCTCAACCACTGAGCCACCCAGGCGCCCCTAGTTCCTGTTTTCTTAAGCAGAAATTATTTCACAAGCAAATTGCATTCAATACTGCAAAGTGCCTATAAATATTTGCCTTCTTTTTTTTTTTTTTTTTTTTAAAGATTTTATTTATTTATTTGACAGAGAGAGTAGATAGATCACAAGCAGGCAGAGAGGCAGGGGGAAGCAGGCTCCCCAATGAGCAGAGAGCCCAATGCGGGGCTCAATCCCAGGACCCTGAGATCATGACCTGAGCCAAAGGCAGAGGCTTAACCCACTGAGCCACCCAGGCACCCCAATATTTGCCTTCCTTAAAACATGCTTACCCAGGTAGTGATCTCATGATTGTCAATAGTTGATCCCTTCTCATTTTGACGAGTTCCATTATAGAAAATATACTTCCATTTAATCTACCTGGTTAAACAGATTCTCAGGGAACTGTCCAAACTCCTGCCAATTGGAATGCACTTTAATGACCTATATTCTATTGTCACAGTGGTCAATTATTTATCATAGAATTTAGATGTTTCAAGAAAATCCTGAGTATTCAATCAGCATTCATAAGTTTTTGTATTCACTTGATGTTGGAATACACAAGTGAAAATTTTAAGATTCATTTCATTATCTTCTGTGGTGGCCACTATGTAAATGACAACGATACATTTCTTTATGACAAATTTCACATTGCCATCTCTAGCTTCAATCCTCCTTTATCTCTTGGATTGGAACCTACAGCCTCTGTTAACAAGATTAAGATTCTGTGGCCAAGGAACTCTTAGGGTAGTTGAATCGTTGGGTATTTACCCAACAGCATCTGTACTCAAGCACTGTTTCTCTCTGAGGAGGCAACCACTCTTAAAATTTACTACTTCTTCTTCCAGAATCATTTATACATATTGTAGCATACACAGTTTTAGAGTTTATTTTTACCCAAATGATGGTATACTACACTGTTCTGTACTTTTTCTGATTTAACAAAACAAGTTGAAGACTTGTTTCTTTTTGATATGTAATAAAGCCACTTCCTTCGTTTTAATGGGTGAAAAATATTCCATTATATCAATGTGCCAAAATTTATTTATGTAGTCCTCTAAGAAAAGACATTCTGGTTGTTTTAAATCTTTTACTATTTAAAAAAAATACTGCATTAAATAACCTTATACATATATTATTTGATATTGTGAGTTAATGCTTAGAAGTGAAACTGCTGGGCCATATAAACTTTGGAATTGGCTGCTGGCATTTTGGGGGGTTGAGGAAGACATTAAATTTATGGACTAAAATTTAAAGAGCATTAAGACTATATTTTAGAGTCCTTCCACTGACCACAAAATATGCTTTTTCATTATGTCATATTTTACCAATTCTTGTACATTTTGAAAATATGGACATATCTCATAATCCAGAACATCTTTTAATCACTATCAGCCAGGTGGTTGTCATAAAGGTAATTATTCCTGGTGGTACAACAGTTAATTGTAAATGAGTGGTACACTGTAAATTACAGGTAAATTATAAATGACTGGTCATTTCAGTCATCAAACCATGTAAGGACCATTTGAGAAGAAATATGAGCCATATTATTGTCAGAAAACCTGTGACACCTTCTGGTAAGATCAGGAAAGTGCAAGCATCCAAACTAAAGAAAGTGCCAGTGATTTGAAAGAAAATTCTCTTAACAAGTACTACATTATTACATTCTTAATGATATAAAGGACAACAGGGTGTTGGAGGGGAAACAAAAAACAATTTTGATGACACCAAGTTAGAAAACTGATTGCAAAGGATCATATTCTAAATGTGAAGTATCAGTAAGTAATATCTTAACTGAAATATTTTGTTTTTATTTTTATAATTGCATAAGAGATATACGATAAAATACCAAATAAGCTCAAGGTTTCTTTCAATAAATTAAAAAAAAAATCTCTAAGTCCTAAGAGATTACTTCATAGGTGTACTGGTAGCAGTTTATCTTTGTGTTAAATTACAAAAAGAAAGAACAGTTCAACTCACAGTCAGCATCTCATATATGGAAAAACACTCTACATCTTATTTTGAAGTTTCTCTCATGTAGATTTGCACACTGTTAGGGTACTCTTACTTTTTCTTTTCTCCCATTACACCTTATTACTGGAATACTACTTATTTTTGTTTATTTTATGAACAGCCACTTTACTGAATTCTCTATTTATAATTTCTTAGTGGATTCTTTTAGGTTTTCTAGGTATGCACTGAAATAAATTTTAAACTCAAATTATCTTAAACTATTTGCTGGAATTTAAGCTCTGTAAAAGTTAGGATTATGTATTAGTTTTACTGTTTTATCCCCCGTACCTAGTATATTACCTTGCAGAAAGCAGGTAATCAATATATATTTGTTAAATGAATTACATAAATGCATCTTACTTTGTAAAATTTAATCCAACCCCTTCTACAACACAAATGGTGAGCTTAAATATAAAAGATTAAAGTGTATTCATATTTTTTCCCTTCCACATACAAACATATAGATGCTGTTAAGTAACTGGATATTTTATATTCAAAGCTATATGTATTTGGCTACATAGTTCTAGTCTAATAATTAAAAACTCTGGTTATGAAATAAATGTTTTATTTTAATCACTTACCTTTTGGATCTTAGATCTGATGAATCAAACTGGATATTCATAGGTCCAGGATTTATTATTTCATGATTGACCTCTGGGATGAGAAGATGCTTAGAATCACTATCCATATCTGCCACTTTTCTTAGCCTCTAAACACTGATGAAGTCAGTCCTACATAAATAAGAAAGAATAAAAACTATAAAACTTAATTAAAATTATTTTACTACTAACAAGTAATACATTTGCATGCATAAGATATTGGAAAAATACAGGAGTTTGCTAATGATATCTTAATGAGGTATATGCCTGAAATCTTTTATCAGAAATTAGCTAAGCTGAATTGGAGTTACTGTTTATTTTTCAGCTTACTAAAAAATAAGTGGGGCAATTGCCCCAATCTGTTTCTGGTAACAAAACAGATTAGGCTATTTGGATCCATTTTCCTGTAGAAAACAACTATAAAAATATTAGGTAAAATACAGAAAACATCTTTTGAAAAGCATAAAAAATAATGATGGTAATCAGGCAATTAGTAGGTACAGTTAAGGAACCTAGTGAGGTAAACAGCTTGAGAAACTGCTTCTGCCCACAGAGTATTTGTTGTACCAGGAGAAAATGCGACTGAGGTTTTCAAGGCCTTGTGAAGTACTAGGAAAATAGGAGATAAAACCTGGGATTCACCCAAAGTAAGGAATGATGTAATAAGAAATCATGCCCTTTCCCTTCTCCCAGTAACACAGTGGGGAGTACAAAGATCTTTACCATTGCATTGGGAATTAACAAGCAGTAGAAGTGCCTTACTCCCTCACAAGGGAACTACAAACAAGATTTCTTGACTATGCCCATAGGCAGCATGTGTGTGCACACATGTGCTCGCAGGCATGCATCTGTGGAGGAGGAAGTATTCCATACCACAAACTGTGCTTCATGTGGATTTGCAGGAGGTCAAAGAATACTTAAAGCCAGGAATATAACTTAAGGTTAATTTGCTTGGTAGGACTTCTAGGTAACTGCTAGAAACAAATATAAATCTTTTCTGTGAGGACACACCTTGATCCTATGCCTCAAAGAAGACCTGCTAACAATCTTCCAAGGACACTGAATAGTACACAGTAAAAAATAATCTAGCATGCAAAGAAATAAAATGCTTTTAGTGAGAACCAGGAGAAACATGAGCAGAAATAGATTCATAAGGCCTTCAACTATAGGAATTATCAAAATAATACTAGAAAACAATTATGCTTCCCATCTTTAAATAAAAAACAAAGTGGATATATACACAATGGAATACTATTCAGCCAAAAAAATATGAAATCTTGCCATCTGCAGCAACATGGTTGGATCTAGAGAGGGTAATACTAAGCAAAATAAGCCAGTCAGAGAAAGACCAATCTATATGGTATCATTCACAGGTACAATTTGGGAACAAAACAGCAAACAAAAGAGACAAACCAAACAACAACTTAACTATAGAAAACAAACAGATGGTTACTAGAGGGGAGGTTTGTGGGGTGGATGGGTGAAATAGGTGATGGGGATTAAGGAGTGTGTTTATCTTAATGGGCACTGAGTAATATATGGAACTGCTGAATCACTATATCGTACATTGAAACTAATACAACACCGAATGTTAACTATACTGAAATTAAAACAAAAAAATAAAACAAATAAAAAAAGAAAATTTTAAGCACAATGTACTTAAAGAAGCTAAATTCATAGAAGCTAAATTCAAGAGGGTTTCGGGGCTCAGTTGGTTAAGTGTCTGCCTTTGGTTCAGGTCGTGATCCGGGGGGTCCTCTGGGATTGAGCCCCACATCAGGCTCCCTGCTCAGCGGGAAGCCTGCTTCTCCCTCTCCTTCTGCTTTTGCTCCCCACTTGTGCACATTCTCTCTCTCTCTCAAATAAATAAATAAATAAAATCTTAAACAAAAAAGAGGGTTTTTTCCTTCTATTGTCAACTTGTTATTAAGAATTTTTGATTTAGGGAGGCTGGGTGGCTCAGTCAGTTAAGCATCTGCCTTCAGCTCAGGCCATGATTCTGGGATCCTGGGATTGAGCCCTACGTCAGGCTCCCTGCTCAGCAAGGAGTCTGTTTGTCCCTCTCCCTCTGCCCCTCCCCACTGCTCATGCTCTCTTTCTCTCTCTCTTTCTCAAATAAATAAATCTTAAAAAAAAAAAAAAAAGAAGTTTTGACTTAATGGTGTGCTGGTTAGTTCAGTTGATTAAGTGACCAACTCTTGATTTGGACCCAGGTCATGATCTCAGGATCCTGGGATTGAGCCCTGCATCAGGGCTCTCAGCAGGGAGTCTACTTGAGGATTCTCTCTCCCTCTCCCCCTCCCACAGCTCACATGTTCTCTTACTCTCTCTCAAAAATAAATAAATAAATCTTTAAAAAGATTTTAAAAGATTAATTACATTAATATCTCACTTTGCATATAAAAAGCTCATTCTAGGGGCACCTGGGTGGCTCAGAGGGTTGAAGCCTCTGCCTTTGGCTCAGGTCATGATCCCAGTGTCCTGGGATCGAGCCTCATGTCGGGCTCTCTGCTCGGCGGGGAGCCTGCTTCCTCCTCTCTCTCTGCCTGCCTCTCTGCCTACTTGTGACCTCTGTCTGTCAAATAAATAAATAAATAAAATCTTTAAAAAAAAAAAAAAAAGCTCATTCCACCAGCTTAGTTTACAACCTCAAATCTAATTCCCAGTACACATTGCAATAAATGTATTCTGTAAAACAAAAGATTACCAAAAAGTAGCTCAGCATGTTTGACAAGAACCAGAATGAATTTTAACCCCCTCCAATAATAAAACAGCCAAAATTTAAAACGTGATGGATGGGTTTTAAAGTTCAAAACTGATGAACTAGAATGTATAGTTATATTTTAAAATATATAGAATATATAAAATATATAATAAATATATATTTAGTTATATTATAAAATATATAGATACATTCTATATATAGATATACGAATATATAGAATAATACTAGAAACTATCTAGAACAGCAGAGAAAGAGAAAAAAAGTAAATGTGGAAGACAAGTTAAGAGACTTGGGAGATAGAAAAAGAAGGTCTAACGTGCATGTAATTGGAGAACCATAGAGAAGAGATAGCAGAGGTAACATCTGGAGAGAGTGGCTGAGAATTTTCCACAATTCATAAAAGATAACAATCTACAAATTCAAGAAGTTTAATTAATTCCAACCAGAATTAATAATATTATCATAGAGTAGAAAAAAGGAATTAAAATTCCAGACCAAAGGGGAAAAAAGTCAAGTGAAGTTCTTGGAATTAGTGTTCTAAGGTCCTTATATTGTCCAGATTAACATTATATTTGAAACAATGCATGTTATAATTTTAAAGGTAACTATTAACATAACAGAAAATAGTATGTAACTTAAAATCACCATAGTAGAGTAGGAAAAGGAGAAAAACATTAAAAAGGGAGGAAAAATAGAAAGCATAAAATAGTAAGATCCTTCCATTCTTTCTTGAAACCATGCTATCTTTCCCATCACTACACAGAAAGTGCTCGTTAGATTACTAATGACCAAGAGCCAATTGTTGTTATTTTTCAGTATTTAATTTACTCGCTCCATCAGAAATGAGTGTCATATATATATTTCCTTCTTAATAAACTAGATTCACTAGGGCTCCAAGTTTTCTCTATACCTTACTGGTCTCTCCTCTTTTGTCTCATTTACTGTTTACTTCTTGTGTCCCAGAATTCTTAAAATTGTAGTCTCAAGGTTCATTGTTGGTTCCCTTCTCTATCTACCCTCAATTTGTGGATAATATTATCTAATCTCATGGTTTTAGTAACACACCTGCATTGTATAATACAGCAGCCACCAGTCACCCATACCTATATATATATTAATTAAAATTAAACTTTAAAAAAATTCAGCACCTGGGTCACACTAACCACATTTGAAGTGCTCAGTAGCCATACGTGCCTAGTGGTTACCATATTGCACAGTGTAAAAATAAAACATTTCCATCATAACAGAAAGTTCTATTGATCTAGACAATGACAACTTCCACAGTAACATTTCTAGCCAACATTTCTCTCCTGGATTTAACATTTGCATATCCAACTGCCTACTTAACATCTTTTTTTTTTTTTTTAAAGATTTTGTTTATTTATTTAGAGACAGCGCGCAAGCAGGGGGAGGGGAGAGGGAGAGAGAGTGAGAGAATCCTAGGCAAAGTCCCTGCTGAGCTCAGAGCCCAATGTGGAGCTCGATCTCATGACCCTGAGATCATGACCTGAGGCAAAATCAAGAGTTGGATGCTCAACCGACTAAGCTACCCAGGTGCTCCCATCTTTTTTTAATTAATACAACTGACATATAACATTGCATTAGTTTTAGATGAACAATATAATTATTTGATACATATATATATTATTCTTAACATTTTTATTTGGATATAACAGGCAACCAACATATCAAAACTGAACTTTTAATTTTTTCCCAAAAAAAGTATCCTACTGATTGTTTTCCTGATTTCAGTTGCTGGCATCACCATCCTTCTAGTTATTCAGGCCAAAATCCTCAGAAGTATTCATGACTTCTTTTTCTCAGTGTACATTCAATCCATTAGGAAAATAGTCTTGGCTTTCTCTTCAAGTATATCCTGGGTCTGGAAACCATCATTTGTTATCAAGAGTTCTACAATAGTTTTCTGATGGAGTTCCCTGCTTCTACCCTTTTGCCCTTACTGTCTACTCTGTACACAGCAGATAGAGTTGTAGAGAGGTATAGAGAAGGATTTGATCTCACCCATTTGGTTTTTATCACCGGGGGAAGTGCTATTAGACCCAGTGGGTAGAGACTAGGGATGTTGCTAAATATCCTACAATGAACAAAACAGCCTCCTACAACAAAGAATTATTCAGTCCAAAATGTCAATAGTTCTGAGGTTGAGAAACCCTGCTCTACACAGGTAAAGTAAGAGATTGTGAAAGGAACGAACAGGAGAGGATCTTAAATGGTGATGGTAATATTGCATTTTTCAACTTGATTCTGCTTATATGGCCATTTACTTTATTATTATATATTTGTTTTATGCACTTAAAAAAAAAAGATTTTATTTATTTATTTGACAGAGAGAGAGAGAGCGCAAGTAGAGTGGCAGACAGAGGGAGAGGGAGAAGCAGGCTTTCTG